AGAGGCCAAGATGGCCAAAATTTGTCTCTGATACTTTGGACATACTGTCAGGAGGGAACAGTCGTTGGAGAAGGATATCATGCTTAGTAAGATGGAGGGTCACAGAAAAAGAGGAAGACCCCCAACGAGATGGATTGGCCAGGTGGCAGCATTGATGGACTCAAGTGTGGCGGCGGTAAGAGGTTGGCCCAGGATCGGACATTGTTTCATTCTGCTGTGCATGAGGTCGCTATGAGTCGGTTCCAACTTGATGGCACTTAACAACAACAACAAATTTATTGAAAATCTAGGTTCTTACTTGCATATCTATTTCAAATAAAATACTTAGCGTAGGAATGGAAATCTGGAATCAAGCACAACATACACATACATGCTAAAATCCGTTTAAAAGTTCATAAAATGCAAAGTACTAAGGGATCTGGCAATGAGATTGGACTTAAAATTCAAATGAGGACTTGAACTCAAGGGACTTCAAACTGTTCAGATTAAACTGCCAGCATGAGGAGAAGTTCTGGGCTGTAAGCCTGAGTATAATGATTCACTAAAACAGTACCTGCTGAAAAGAATCCTCAAACAATGTTTTTCTTGTCACTGTAATCTTTATGTGCTGAGGCATGGCCAGTTGCTGAAATACAAGAATGACTTTATGTCAACTCTCACCATTAAAATAGCCTATCAAAAACCAAAACGGGAAAGTTTATTTACTTTGACTGTTGTATAGAATAGCAAGTATGACTATGAATGTGAATTTCTAATCAGTAATGCTTAGGAAAGCATTTGTGAACATTCATGCAAATTATATATTATTTAATAGCTATGTGAGAAACAGCAGACAATAAGTTATCACAAAACGTGACTAGATACATAAGTGCTTACTGAATAATATTGGTCAAATAAACCTTTGCTAAATTTTATTTTCAAAAGGTTGTTTCAGATTCTTGTTTGCATGGGTCCAGTTTAGAAGAGTTTGAAGTTTAAAAGTACTTATCCTAGTAACATTTTGATTAGTGCATTCATCTTATTTAGAATCAGTTAAGAAATCATAAATATAGAAAATTTTCTTTATAAATAAAAACAAAAAATCACAGCTGGAAAAAAATTCTGAATATATATTTATCAAAACACTATTTATATCAAATGTTAGATATCAAATAGGCTCATTTGTTTCAATTTATACATTAACTTATATTTGAAGATTTTTGTGATCTATAAGGAATGGGTACCATAGAAAGGGTAAGAACGTTTTCTTATTCAAATTATTTCAACATTTATTCTGTGGAAGAACAGAAGTCACAAATTATCTAACTGATAAGTTTATTTTCTTTGTTGTTTGTGGGTGAAAGTGATTCTAATGCTTATTTTACCTGTTTTTCTATAGGTTAACTATTTTTACCATCATTATGTAGTATAAACAATATAACAAAGGAAGGAAATACAGAAATTCAGCTCCAATACTAACCTGACACCAGAACCGGAAATACTGAACCTTTGCCTTGAAGTCACGAACATAGGCTATCTGGGGTCCATTGTCTCTGAGGAAGAATAATGATTAACATGACATATAGTTGTTTGTCAGAGATAATACTGAAAGAAACACATACATACACAGATTCCCCTCAATACTTAGCAAATACACATACCCCTAATACAACCTTTAAAAAAAGTTTTAAGTCATAGGAAAATAAACGTCAGTCTTATTAATATAACTTATGGGATTTTCTATTAAATGCATCCAAATCGTATACTAGCCACTTAGCCTACAGGACTAAAGGAGTTAGTTTTTATCTATGAGAATGCTACGTACCAAAACATTCATTCTCTGTGAACTAATTTAACGGGGCAGATTCCTCTCTAGGAAAACAGACTGTATTTTTTAGCATGGCTAGAATCTGGTCCATGAACTGTAAGTGGAAGCATCGTATGGAACTTCTAAGGAGGCTCTTTAATGAAAGTTAAGATAGATAGCTGGAAAGGAATTTTATTTGATCTGTCTACATAATCATGTGGTCTCCATGTGTAAAGAATAGACTGCATGGTAAACGTCATCTACCTACTGTCAATTTGTTCTTAACTCTATAATTAAGTCCAGACTGTAGAAGTTTCAGACTGAAGTAACCTTGAGAATAAAAGCCATGCACTAAGATGATAAAGAACCATTTTCTAGATTACCATGTATCCCTAAACTTCATAAATTGGCACTATTTGTTTTTTCCTTGGACTACTTTTAGCTTCATTTTCTAATTATTCATTGCATATATATATATATAAATCTTTGTATATTTTATTCTGCAACATTGTAGGTTTTTGTAAATGACTTTTTCCAGGTAAGAAAGTTTACGTTTGAGTTTAACCATAAATTTGCGTTGTTAAATATGTTTTCTGATATATGATAGTCCTTCTTTAATTTGGTAATATGGTTAATTAAACGTATCAACTTTTGGATGTTAAGCGGATCCTGAATTCCTAATTCAAATTGGTCACAGTTGAACATCCCTTTTATATACTGCTATATTTCATCTGTATTATTAAGGATATTTACACTATGTTCACAGAAATATTATCCTATAATTTAAGATTACCGTTCTTGCCAGAGTTTTAAACCGTGGATATTCTGTTGATGGTGTTAAGTGTCACTGAGTTGGTTCCGACTCATAGGGACCTTGTACAGGGTTTCCAAGGAGTGGCTGGTGAAAGACTCACAAAATGATCTGAAAAGTATTTCCATCTCTTCTATTTTATGAAAAAGTTTGAGTAAACCAGTGTTTCATAGGAAATTGTTTAATTATGATTCAATTTCTTTATCAAATAGAGTGCTATTTAGATTTACTTGTATATTTCAAGGAACTCGTCCATTTGATCTAAGTTGTCAAATTTACTGATATAAAGTTGTTACAAATAACCCTCATTACTTTTTAATATCTGTAGTTACATCCTTCTTCATTTTGATACTGTTAATTTAAGTGTTATCTTTTTTTTCTATCAGGGATTTATCAATTTATTAATTTTTTTTAAAGAACCAATTTCGGTCCTGGATTTCTTTATTGTTTAATTTCTATTTCTATTTATTTTTTAGAGAGGATAGCAGTAAGGAGTGAGGGCTAGGGTTAGGACTAGGTTAGGCATAGGACTTCATTTTAGTGTTAGGTTTTTGGTTAGGACAAAGGTTAGTGTTAGAAGTTAAGGGCTGGGCTAGGGCTAGGATTAAGGCTTGATCTAGTTATTAGGGTTACCTTAGGTTTATTCTATTTATTTTTCTTGAAATCTACTTGATTTCCTTCTCATTTGGAAATTCTGTAACTGCATTACTCCCTATTATCTACTTTATGGCTTTTTTGTAGCAAATGTATCTCCGGTTCTCTATTTTCCGTCTTATAGTTCTATTCTGGGAACGCAGTGACTCCATATGATAAGCACTGAACTACGAACCACACGGTCTGCAGTTTCAGCCCTTGGAGAAAGATGAAGCTTTCTGCTTTCACTGAAGATTTAAAGCCTCAGAAATTCTATACAAGGTTGCTGTGAGTCAAAACTGACTTGACAACACTTAATAACAATAACATATATCTGATTGGGAATCCTGATGTAGTGCTATAGGATACACAGTGAACTGTTAACCACAAGGTTGGCAGTTCAAACCCACCAGTCACTCCTTGGGTACATTATGCAGGGTAGCTATGAACTGGAACTGACTCAACAGCATTTAACAGCGATATTATCTAGGTGATATTGTCCTTATATTAGTCTCAAGTTATTGTATGCTGTTGCTGGTTTCTGTCCAAAGAACTAACTTTAGTATTGTTTTGTGAGGTTGGTCTGGTTTTTCCAAATTCTATGATATTCTATCTATTTATCTGAAAATGACCTAAATTTGCTGTCATAGTCAATGGACAATTTTGCTGGATATACTGTTCCTGGTTGGTGATTTTTAACTTACAGAGTTTTATATGTGTCATTCAATTATCTTCTTACATGCATGGTTTCTGTTGAGAAATCAGAACTTAGTTTTATTACTCCTCCCTTTGTAGGATAACCTTTAGTTTTTCCTGAGTTGCTCTCAGGATTCTTTCCTTATAATTGGTTTTGAAGTTTGTTTTTTTCCCCCTTTGGTGGGGGAAGACGGGGGAAGTCTACCCTGTTTGGAGTTTGTTTAAATTCTTGAAGGATTATTTTCTCATTATTCATAATGTAACGGCAGTTTTTTTCCCAACAACACTTGGACAATATTCATTCTGTTTTTTTCTTGGTATCTTCATGTTCTGTAACTACAATCACATGTAAATTTCTACTGATAGTTTCCCACTTAAAGGTTAGGCTATCTTTGGATTGTTTTGTTCTTTTTTCTGATTGTCTCTCTAATACAGGAGTAGAAAACATCCAGTCCATGGGTCAAAATCATTTGGTCTGGTCCTACCAATGCAACCACAGATCCAGCTATCCCATTGTTGTTGTTAAGTACCGTGGAGTCGGTTCTGACTCATAGTGATCCTGCACAGGGTTTCCAAGGCTGTAAATCTTTACCGAAGCAGAACGCCTCATCTTTCTCCCACAGAACCACTGGTAGTTTCGAGCTGCTGACCTTGATGCCTCATTCGTCTGCATACAATCCAGCTTCTTGAATTATCTGTGCAGCATATGACTGAGTAAGTATGGTGAAAGGATACAATCGTGGTGTACGTCTTTCCTGATTTTAAATCATTCACCGTCTCCTTGTTCTACTCAAACACTACTTCTTAGTCTATGTAGAATTTCTTCAAGAGCACAATTAAGTGTTCTGGATTTCCCATTCTTCACAATGTTATCCACAGTTTGTCATGGTCCACACAGTTGAAAACCTTTGCATGGTCTAAATAAAGCACAGGTAAACATCTTTCTGGTATTCTCTGTTTTCAGTCATCATCCATCCGACACTAGCAACGATATCCCTCATTCAACATCCTCTTCTAAATCTGATTTGAACTTCTGGCAGTTTCATGTCAATGTACTACTACAGCTATTTTTAAATTACAATTAACAGATTTTACTTACATGTGATATTAAAGATATTGTTGAATGATTCCCAAATTCCAGTGGATCACCTCCCTTGGAACAGATAACAATATGGATCTTTTTCAATCAGTTCTCCAGGTAGCTATCTTCTAAATTTCTTGGATAAGATGAGTGATTGCTTCCAGTGCTGTATTTATTTGTTGAAAGATTTCAATTCATATTCATCAATTTCTAGAGATTTATTCTTTGCCAATACCTTTACTGACCTTTGATTTCTTCCTTCAGTACCATTACTTCTTGATCACATGCTACCTCTTGAAATGTTCGACCTTTTTTTCATTCAATATTTTGCTTACAGTATTTCAAATCAAGGCTTGAATTTTTTTCTTCAGTTCAGCTTGAGAAATGCTAAGTATGTTATAAACCAATCCCTTTTGGATTATAACTCCACATCTCTGCATATTTCATTATAATACTTTACTTTGTCTTCTCAAGCTGCCCTTTGAAATTTTCTGTTCAGCTCTTTCACTTCCATTTATTTGCTCTAGCATTTCTATGGTAAAGAGAAAGATTCAGAGAATCTTCTGAATCAACGTTAGTCTTATCCTTTCTAGTCTTCTTAATTAATGACCTTTTGTGCTTTCTTCTTGTATGATATTCTTGATGTCATTCCCAAACTCTTCTGGTCTTCTGTCATTAGTGTCTATCCAATGTATCAAATCTGTTCATCAGATGATCTCTAAATTCAGATGGGATGTGTCATATTTTGGCTTTTGTGGACTTGGTTTAATTTTCTTCAGTTTAAGAGCAATTGATGATCTTTTCCACAGCCTGTCCATGACCTTCTTTTGGCTGATGCTATGGAGCTTTTCCTCTGTGTCTTCCCACAGATGTAGTCAATTTGATTTTGGTTTAGTTCACCTGGTGAGGTTCATGCTTATAGTAGTCTTTTATGTTGTTTAAAAAAGATATTTACAATGAATACATCATTTGTCTTTCAAAATTCTATCCTGCAATCTCCAGCATTATTTTTATCAGCATGGCAATATTTTCTTCCTTGTAAGTGTATGGATATTATACTATCACAGACAGAACTGTAGTTCAAGATAGTTGTTGCAATGTTCTTTTCGATGATAAATGCTAAGCCATTCCTCTTGAATTTCTTGAGCTCAGCAGAGTAAACCATATGGTTATCATTTACTGGCACTATATCTAACAATATTTGGATGCTATAAGATTTTCTGTGGCTCACCACTCAGAAGTAGTCAGCCTCACTTTCTTCATAGTCTGTAAGCATTGCTGAAATCTGTCCAACATAGGGAACCCTGTTGTTGTTAAATGCCTTTGAGTCAGTTCCAACACAGAGAGCATCTGTAAAGAGTTTCCGAGGAGCAGCTGGTGAGTTTGAATTACTGACCTTGCGGTTCAAACTGACCTTACAGTCCAGCTGGTATTTAAAATACTGGTGGCATAGCTTCCAACATCACAGCAACATGCAAGCTACTACAGCACAACAAACTGACAGACAAGTGGTGAAAAAACAAACCCACTACTCATTTGTCAGTTTGAAGATGAACACCTCAGATTGGAAGGCACTTAATATACAACTGGAGAAGAGCTGCCTATTCAAATTAGAGCTGACCATGATGATGAGAATGGAGCAAAGCTTTCGAGATCTTCATTTGTTGATGTGACACTCAAAATAAGGAATAATAGCAACAAACATCCATTAATAATTGGTCATGGAATGTATGAAGTATGAATTTAGGAGAATTAGAAGTTATAAAAAATGTAATAGAATGTATAAAGATAGATATCCCAACCATTAATGAACTGAAATAAGGCTGGCCTTATTTTTTTCCCAATAAAAAGTTTAAAAAAAAAAAAAAGACTCTGAAATTTACTCTCAAGCATAAAAATGCTTAAGTGAATAGAAGAAATGAGGAAGTAAACAGCTCTGCAGAAAATTTGTAAGGGCAGGTCGAGAAGACACAGTATTATAATAAACTGGAGTTAGAAAACCCAAAGGTTTTCTTCACACTCAGGTCATTTCTTAAGCTGAAAGAAGTGAACAAAAAAATTCAAGCCTAGACTTGCAATATTGAAGGACCAATTCAATAAGTACTGAACAGTGAACCACAAGGTCCAGTTTGAGTCTGCCAGCCACTCTGCAGAAGAAAAATGAGGCTTTCTGCTCCTGCAAGGATTTAAAATGCCTCTCTGAAACTGTATGGTGGCGGTGGTAGTGTCCCATGGAGTTGGTTCCGACTCATAGCAACCCTATATAGGGCTTCTGAGGCTGTATATCTTTATGGGAGCAGAAAGCCTCATCTTTATCCCATAGAACCTCTGGTAGTTTCAAACTGCTGAGCTTGAGGTTAGCAGCCCGACTCATAACCTCTACGCTACCAGAGCTCCTTCAGAAACTGTATACCAGGGTCATTATGCGATGGAATCATATCAACGGCACTTAAGACTGACAACAGACAAAATATTGAACGATGTATCAAATGAAGATGGAAAGTATACACAAAGTCACTGTACCAAAAAAAAAAAAGTCAATATTTAACTATTTCAGGAAGTAGTATATGATCAAGAACCACTGGTATTGAAGAAGGAAGTCGAAGTTGCACTGAAGGCATTGGTAAAAAACAAGGATTTGGGAACTGATGGAATATAAATTGAAATCTTTCTACAAACTGATACAGCACTACTGGCACTCACTCACTCATCTATCACAAGAAATCTAGAAGGCAGATATCTGGCCAGCTGATTGGAAGAAATTAATATTTGTGTCCATTCTAAAGAGAGGCAACCCAGAGGAATGTCGAAATCATTCAACAATATCATTAATGTCATGATAAACTAAAATTTTGCTGAAAGCAATTAAAAAATAGCTGCAACAGTATATTGACAATGCACTGCCAGAAACTCAAGCCATATTCAGTAGAGGATGTGGAACTAAAGATATTACTGCTAACATCCGATGGATTTGGGCTGAAACAGAGAATACTAAAAGGATTTTTACTTGCGGCCTATTGAGCACTGGTAGTATAGCAGTTACAAGTTGGGCTGCCAACCTCAAGGTCAGCAGTTTGAAACTACCAGCAGTTCCAAGGGAGAAAGATGAGGCATTCTGCTCCCATAAAGATTTACAGCCTCGGAAAGCCTGTGCAGGGTCACTGTGAGTCAGAACCGACTCCACAGTATTTAACAACAACAACAATTGACTATACAAAAACTTTCAACTCTGTGGATCATGATAAGCTATGGGTAACACTGTGACGAATGAGTATTCCAAAACACTTGATTGTGCTCCTGAAAAACCTGTACATAGTCCAAGAAGTAGTAGTTCAAAGAAAACAAGCAGATACTAAATGTTTTAAAATCAGTAAAGGTGTGCACCAAGACTATATTCTTTCACTATATTTATTCAGTGCTGAACAAATAATCCGAGAAGCTAGAATATATGAAGAAAACCATGGCATCTGAATTGAAGGAAGACTCATGAATAAACCTGTGATATGCCAGTGATACAACCTTTCTTGCTGAAAGTGAAAAGGACTGAAAATAAAGACCACAACCTTCAGTATCGATTGCACCTCAATGTAAAGAAAACAGTCACAACTAGACCAATAAATTCATCATGTTAAATGGAGAAAAGGTTGAAGTTGTCAAAGACTTCAGTTTACTTGGATCCACAATCAACACTCATTGAAGTGGCAGTCATGAAGTTAAATGACATACTGCATGATGTAAATGTGCCGCACAAGACCTCTTTAAAGTGTTCAAGAGCAAAGATGTCAGTTAGAAGACTAAGGTGTAATTGACCTAAGCAAGGGTATTTTCAACAGCCTCATATGTATGTGAAAGTTTGACAATGAATAAGGAAGATCATAGAAGAATTGATGCATTTGAGTTATGGTGTTAGAGAAGAATATTAAAAGTGCCATGAATTGTCAGAAGAAACAAACCTGTGTTGGAAGAGGTACAACCATAATGCTACTAAAAAGCCAGGATGGTGAGAATTTTGTTTCTCATACTTTGGACATATTATCAGCAGGAACCAGTTCCTGGAGACGGACATAATGCTTAATAAAGTGGAGGGACAATGAAAAAGAGGAAGACTCCCAGACTGACTGGCAAAGTGGCAGCAGCAATTGGCCTAAGTGTAGCAATAATTGTGAAGATCACAGAGGACTGGGCAGTGTTTGGTTCTCTTGGAACTGACTCGAAATAACCTGAAAATAACTCTTTTTTTCCCCCATTTATTTTGTCAGTATTTTTCCTGATTTCTTCTACAGTTTTGTCCATGTTTTCCTTGATTTCATCTGCAATTTTCTTAACCATTCTTTCAATCAACTGAAGTTACCTAAACAACATTCTTTACAATTCTTTATCAGATAGTTCTGATACAATTTCTGGTGTTATATTCTCTGACTCTGGATCTTGGTGATGTGTTTGAGACATTTGAGGCATTCTGTCTTGTTTCTTCATGTAAGTGGAAGTCATTTGTTTTCTCTGAGACACTGAGGTATCATCATATTTGATGATTGTATATTGGTGTCTTCTCAGATACTCACCATCTGTTTCCTGATAGATGTGGTAAAAACTGGAACTGTGAATGCACATTATTTGTGTAGTGTAGTTCAGGAAGTGTTCACTTGTCTCCAGAAGCAGATGTGCTATGCCTAGTGCCTGACCTCAGGCAGATCAGAGACTGCGCCAGAGGAGGTGCCACTGGTTGCTGGGTTGTCAAGGGCAGGGATTGGCTACGCCTCCAACTACCAGGAGGGCACAGGAACAAGGAAGAATTACACCCTCTTTCTGCCAACCTCCAGCCAAATCCTGTGCCCACAGGCCATTCGTAGAAGTCCAAGATGGCTTCACATCGACTAACAGTCCACTTGATTTTCTTATTTCAATGTTCAGCTTCCTCTTCCAGTTAGCACTCAATCCACCTTTCTGTCCTATCATCTAATGCTCAGGATTCCAGGGCCATCTGTTATCTCTTTCCCTTGTTGCAGAATGTGGGCTCTGTACTTTTTCTTACTCCGCCATCTTACCCTGGAAGTTTCTCTGTTTTTTTCTTTCCTCCATTATTTATTCTTTTCCCAACTAACTTTGGGTTTCATTATTTTGTAATGTCAAAGGTAGTGCTGTAGGATCAGCACTGGACTGTGAACAACAAGGTCAGCAGTTCAAACCCACCAGCTGCTCTTTGGAAATCGTATACAAGGTCGCTATGAGTCAGAATTGACTCGATGGCATTTAACAACAAGAAAGGTAGAATCAAGATGAATGATTTTAAACTTTTCTTGTTTTCTAATCTAGGCCTGTAAAGCAGTACAATTTCCTCTTAGGACTACCTTAGCTACTGGTATTCCATATACTGGAGTCCTGGTGTGGCGCTGTGGGTTAATGTGCCAGATTGCAAACCTGTTTGAACTGCAAGGTCGGCAGTTCAAGCTCACCAGCTGCTCCTTGAAAACCCTATACAGGGTCGCTATGGGTCGGAACCGACTCAACAGCACTTCACAACAACAACAATCCCATATATTATGATTTGTTTTTATTACTATTCAATGTATTTCCTAATTTCTTTTGTCATTTCTTTTTGCCCTATGATTTATTTAAAAGTATGTTGTGTAAAATCCCAATGGACTGTCTTTAAATGATGGACAGAAATATATTTTACTGGTTATAAGTCACTATTGTTTTGGTGTTTTCTGTTCTATGCACCCAAAATTAATTTTAATAGGAATTATGTAATAGTTACCTATGCAGAAAGTATAAAGTTAAAAGGTATTTGGAATAAAAGAAGCAGGCAATAGATGGTAATAAATATGAAAAGTCTCTAAGGTAAAATATTCATAGGGAGATGGAAATACAAAATATTTAGTGGACAGAGACTTATTGACCAAGTAACTTCAGAAATAGTTAAGGTTTGCATTTCTACATTCCCTACTAAATTCAGACCTACATAACAAAATCTGAAAAACTGGTTTTACTTTTAATTTATAATGTTCAGAAAACTTACAAGGCAGATTTTCCTGTACGGGGATCTATATAGGTGGTTGTTCTTCTATTGTGGTCCACAAAATATGGAATTCCATCCACAGTGAATCTCATTTCCCAGCCTTCTGGTAAAGGCTTTTCATTTAATTGACTATAAAATATAGGAGAAAACAAACATTCAAAATGTTAGAGTTGACTTGTTTACCAGTACAAAAATGAATAATGTCTATAAATGTATTAGAAATCTTCCAGAAAACCATTTAGTACAGTATTTCTAGTGGTTCGGTAGACATCTCTATCTGGACATAATCACTTTGAACCAAACAGGCTCATCAATCACCACTTTAGTCTTTTTTTATTTATCAGGCTGTGTTCCCCTGCTTCTATCCAATAACCAAAACTCATTGCTCTTGAGGCCATTTTGAATCATGGTGACTCTATAGGAGGAAAACTGCCCCATAGGGTTTCCAAGGCTGGAAGTCTTTATGAAAGCAGATTGTCACATCTTTCTCCTATGGAGTGGCTACTGGGTTTAAACGGTCAATCTTCTAATTAGCAGCCAAGTGTTTCAACTACTGTACCATTAGACTTTCTTGTTTATCCAATAACCTCCCTAAACATCTTGTGGTAAATAGTCTCTGGCCATTCTGCCTTAGAAGTCTTTTATGTTCCTCCTACTTCCCATTCCAAATACTACCTTTACTCTAGTTTTATTTACCTACTCATCTACACTCTTAAAACAGTTACTTAACTCTAGGAGTCCTGGTGTGGTGCTGTGGGTTAATGTGCTGGACTACAAAGTTGGTTTGAATTGTAAGGTCGGTAGTTCAAGCTCACCAGTCACTCCTCAGAAGCTCTATTCAGGGTCATTATGGGCTGGAACCAACTCAACAGCCCTTAACAGCAACAATAAGCCTTACACACTAATCTTATTCTTACATTCCATACTGCTGACAGAATTATCTTTATAAAATAATAAATCTGATAAAATAATAGTTTTCCTAAAGTCTTATCATTGGTCACTACCATCACTGATAATATCTATAGTCCTCCACCTGGTACTCATTCTGCTTCTATACTCTGAATCCCAATGTTCCCTTCAGATTTTTCTCTTTAGTCTACCCCCAGCTCCTTTAAACGAACTTTAACAATCCCTCTAATTTCCTTTTATTCCCAAAATGTCAATATAACAATCATAAAAACACTATGTGGAAAAGTACCAAATGGTGTTTAATGTTCAGTTGGAAGCTCCATTAACTTATCAAAAGGAAAGATTATTTTACTATATTCAGATATTTGAACATAATTATATTTAATATATATATATTAATAGGTTACCATAAAATTTCTGAAGATAATGCTAAATGCAACTGCTTCTGATTTGTTGAAATTATATGAGCTCTGGTAGTGTAGTGGTTACGAATCGGGTTGCGAATCTTAAGGCCAGCAGTTCGAAACTACCACCCGCTCTGTGGGAGAAAGATGAGGCGTTCTGCTCCCGTAAAGATTTACAGCCTTGGAAACCCTATACAGGGTCGCTATGGGTCAGAACCGACTCGACGGCACTTAACAACAACAACATATATGAAAATTATAAATAAAATTAGTTATATCTTAACAGAGGAGCTCTGATATTACAGTGGTTAAAAATCAGGCTGTGAACCTTAAGGTCAGCAGTTCGAAACTACGAGCTAGCTGTTCCATGGGAGAAAGATGAGGGTTTCTGCTCCTGTAAAGATTTACAACCTTGGAAACCCTGTACAGAGTCACTATGAGTTGAAATTGACTCCACAGCATATCATGATATCTTAATAAATGACAACTTGTCATTTATTAACATAGTTCATTTTCAGTTTTAATACCTTAAAGATCCAAGAAAGAACAACAACAACAAAAAACATAGCAATTTACAGAAAGGTGACTTCATCTGTTCTATCCTTAAAAAGAGAATTTCAAAAAGGAAATTTAAATGTTATCTTTGAAGTTCTTATTTATTGCTGTTTTGAAATATATATATTTCATATTAAAAATCAATATAAATGTGATTCATGATATCCAGAAATTGATACAAGGAGGCTTCAAAAAGTACACGGAAAATTCCATTATTTTTAAATTCCATTTTCCACAACAGTTTTGCAACACCCTCATGTTTTAAGTTTTAAATATTCATTTAAGATAGATATTCTAAAAGCATTGATCATGAAACCTTCTGGCACTCTTATATCATGCATACTATTATAAATTATAACTTAGTATTATAGAAGAAAAGGAGCTCTGGAAGCGTAGTGGTTACAAATCGGGCTGCGAACCTCAAGGACAGCAGTTCAAAACTACCAGCTGTTGCAGGGGAGAAAGATGAGGCTTTCTGCTCCCGTAAAGATTTACAGCCCCAGAAACCCTGTACAGGGTCGCTATGAGTTGGAACCGACTCCACGGCACATAACAACAACATTATAAAAAAGTAGCTGAAGATACAGCTATCAAAACATTAAAAAGACAAACTTATGATAATATGTCTTTTCATCAATGCATTCATTAACAAGTTCTTATAACAGACTAAATAATGATGTACATGAACAATACTTTTGAGGTATCTTCAACAACCAGAACATTACAAAAATACTTGCTAGCTAGGACATGGAGGAAGGCAGAATCTCCACTGAGTAGTATACAATCTGTCTAGGCGGGGCTGATGAAATGAAATCCAGATGGATCTCTTGTGATACAATAGTGAATAATTGTTATCTGGACTGCTTGTGAGGGTTGGAATTGTAAAGGTAGAAGTTTTTTAGCAAGGAAGGGTGTGATTAACTTTTCAGCCTAAGAGCGGAGGTCCCTGGGACCATCAAGGGAGAAGAGCGCAGAGCGGGACCCTACCCAGAGAAGCAGTGATGCCTGAGATGGAGGCAGAGACGATGATGTGGAGAGATGGAGCTGTTGGGGACTTTAGACACAGAGAGAAAGAGGGGCTGTGTGCTGATGACCGGGGAGCATGCTTGTAGTGTCTACCCTTTGGATGGTTGATGATGCATGGAGGGGATTGTAACCATATCAATGAAATGATATACTATAGGATGAATGTAAAACTAATGTTCTCCCATGTAAACTATCACATAATTCACAATAAAACATTAAAAAAAAAAATACTTGCTAGCAATTTCAGTAAAAAGTTGGAGAAACTACATACATATATTTTCTCCCCCATCTTAAGTCATATATGCCCTGAATTCTATCCAGTGACCTCAAGAAAAGAAACCCAATTTTTGAATTAGTACTACTGACCATAATTAAATATTTTGGATATATACATATATTCTCATGTATTGGTGAAACTTTTTCTTTCCAAAGTATGTGGATGACTGAAATGAAGGCCTTTTAAACAAGATTATGTAACTTCGGCCCTCTTAATAAATGAATCAGAAATAAAGCACAATCTTTAAGTGAAAGTTCTTACCCTTGATTTCTGGGGTCTTCCCATTGTGTAATACGAGTGTTGTGGTTGACAAAATATACTCTGCCATTGCTGTCCGTTCTCTTCTCTTAAATAAAAGAAAGCATTGGAGTTGACATAATCTTCTTCCATAAAGTAAAATAAGCTAAATCTTCCCATTTCTTATATTTACTTTAAGTTTTGAAGCTTGAAAACCACAACTTTAAAAGGCTTCATTTATTCTTTGACTACTAAATATACATACATAACTAATTTATAATATTACTAAATCTTAGAAGCTAAATAGACTTTATTCCATGATGTCCTTTCTGTGTAGTTCAATCAAGTAATCACTAAGTTTTAAAGGCAAAGAAACAAATCGTTTTTGTTATGTTGGTTCTGGCTCCTGGTGACTCCATGTGTTGCAGAGCAGAACTGCACTTCATAGAGTTTTCACGGCTATGACCTTTCAGAAGCAGTATCTTTCTCCCAAGGTACCTCTGAGTGGGTTTGAATCACCAACTTTTTGTTCAGTAGTCAAATATTTAACCACTTATACCACCCAGGGGCTCTACAGCATGAATAATGAATAGTAATACCACTTTTAGACATAAGACCTTATTTTACCCTAACGGCCCAATGAGATAAATAATTTTACTTTTATCCTGAACATAAAAGAAATCAGGGTTAGGTAAAGTTTCCAAAATTACAGAATTAAATAACAGACCATGGAAACATGGTCTCCATCTGGGACTTTCTGCATATCATTATATCTTTAGTATCTAAAACACAATGGAGAGCTATAACTTTGTTTCTTTGGTATATGGTAGACACTATTCAACTTATGAAGCTATTGTTTCTATTTCAATATACCCAGTTACCTTACATATGCATTTCAAAATCCACTGTCTAAATAAATAAATATACGTTCTCTACAGGGGCTAATTTATTACTTCTGAAGCTTGCTACTTGTTTTCCACTTACCTCTTGTTTTAGCATTCTCCTTGTGTTCTTGTTTCTAATCTATTCTCTCCTATTTCTCTGAGCTTTTCCCCTTTGAACATATGAGTACCATTTTCCCTTTTTAATAAGAAAAATCAAGTAGCTCTTAATTTTAATAACATTAAATTCTACTCTATTACCAATTAATTCTTCAAAAGATAGATTTTATTGTTTCAGAATCTGTGTTTGCCCAAAATGTCAAAATGTGTAAGTATTAAATATTACAGAATGTATTCATTTTTTACAACATAATTTCTAAGAATTAACCATTTTGAAACAAAATTTAAAGTTCAATTCCAATCTGATAATGCTAATTTTTATTTCCCAATGTTTGAAAAATTTATGAATATTAAGATTAATTAAAGTCTTTGTAGTCAGTATTTGATAACATTTAAATATTATTTCATTTAAATATATTTCCTGCACTGATTCATGATCTCAAACAGTAGTGAGGATATGGGTTTAAAGGGATGTACATGTACTGACTGTCTTGAACCAACTCTTGACATCCTGGGTACTTTCTACACCAACTCGGCCTAAAATTGAAACAGGACTCCAAGCATACACAAAATAAAGTATAGAAAAATAGGACTCTGCTTCTGGCAACATATCTGAATATTAATATAGACTTCATTGGTCATGGCAGATTGAATATAGAAACATGTCACCCATTCTAAAGCTTGCTTTGAAACAAAAATAAGCATCACAATGCTACAACTGGCCACATTTTTGGGAGTCACATTCAAAAAAAAATTTATTTGAGGGATTTAGAATTGTCTTTCTTTTAAAAAAATAGCGAAATAATTTTTAAAGAGAGAGAGAGAGAGAGAGAGAGAGAGAGAGACAGACAGACTTCAAATCAATAGCCTAACTCCACAACTCAGTAAACTAGGGGGAAAAAAACAAAAACACACTAAGACTACCAGTAGAAAGGAAATAACAAAGATCAGAAATTGTAGAAATGAAAACTAATTCTAAAATAATAATTTTTACCATCTGAAAACAATAAGTGAATAGCTGAGCATATATTCATGTTTTATCTGCAACTTAAATTTCAGGGCCAGAGATTTCTCCTCCAGACAATAATGTGAGGTAAGATAAAATAAAAATTAAACTTGTTTCTCATGTGAGTTCTTAAGTATATACTGCTGACATCAGCATTTCTTGGAAGAGAAATAGATAATTTCAAAGATGAACACTTGCGAATTGAAAACTTCTCTGCTTTCAAACCACCAGCTGCTCCATGGGAACCCTATACAAGGTCACTATGAGTTAGAACTAATGGCACTTAACAACAATACAATAACAATGTTGTTGTTGTGAAGTGCCATCGAGTCGGTTCCGACCCATAGCAATAGCAGCTGCTTAATGAGAGGAAGTACTCTAGCTATAGAACATCTTCCTCCTTTTTTGAAAAATCATGATAAGCAATACTGAAATTTACTGAACAAATCTGAGTATACATCAGAGCACTTCCTGACTTGATGAATAAAACAGAAAACTTAAACTCCCTGCTGTTCTATTTTTATTTCATAACAACTAAGAAAATGAAAACATATCTTTAAACTTGATGGATAATCTGGTTATCCATTTTTTGTTATTTAATGTTATTTTTTGTTTAATTTATTTTTGTTACTATTAATTCAATAATTTAAAAGTTTTAAATTATTAATAATACTTATTATTAATAATGTTATATAGTAGACTACATTGTTAACCAAAAACATTCTTAGTTCTCCATAGTTGTTAAATGCGTTAAAAATTCTTCATAGACAGCATATAAGATAGTAATGTCTACTCCAAGCTTATAAAAGCCTGAGAGCTTGTATTTTAATATATAATACTTCCAATCACTGAGCATAAACACAGGTTGTGTTTATGGGGTGATTATTTCCAGGGTCACTTCTAAAGGTATGGCAGGTGGGGAGGGGTCTCCTCATCTGTTAAAATAACCAGTGTTGTCACTGGTTTAACAAATAAGGCATATACAGAAAGGCACAGAATCACAAACAAGTGCTCGGGCTGAACAGCAGAATGATCATGAGTTCATTTAAAAACGGCACTTTCAGCTTCAGAAGTGTGAAACCTAAAAATGATCAGACTGTACAATAGCAGGGCAGGATGCTGATAACCTGAATAATATGATCTTTAGAGGTAGTATTTTAGAGAGGTATTGCTGGTTGAAGTAACAATGAGAAAGCTCTTGATGATGATGACAAATATAGAAAGCAAGGACCAACTTGCAGGAAAAGTTTTTTTTAGTAAAGATGGGGCCAACATAACCCACAATTTCAGCATCTCTGAAAAAGAAGGAATGTTTCCTACAGCTGCTTTGATGTGTAAAATGCTTGTTTCTGACAAAGGACATTGGGTTATGTTTTTTCTGGAATAAAGAGGATAAAAGGACATGTCTTTTAGGTAAATCCTTTTAGTATCAATTTCTCCTTCTATAACATGGATATATAACAATTCTATAAACAAGGCTGGAAAATCATCCATGTATGGGGATGCAATTTGACATATTTGGTTCAATGTGCCCCATAATGCCCAAACTAGCCCTTCTTCTAAAGTACTTCATACCAACCACACATTCACCACTCTGAAGCTTCAACAGAGCCAGAAGACTTAACAGACTGCCAAGTCTTGGTGAAAGTAGAAATTCACAATTTTCATGTGCCCCTCCTTTGTTACAAACTGGCAACAGTAACAGTTAAAAGTAAGCACTTCATATTTTTCACCTACTTGACTCACAAGAGTATTTTAAGGATAAAGAATCTCAATGAACGAGCAAGGAAGTCTTGGAGGGGAACAAAAAAGCTTCCATAGTATTTATTGTCCAGATTTATGTGATTTTGACATATGAATTGTTTTCTCTATTACTCACTAATGCTATTTTAGAGAGTGGTGTTTCCGATTGATGACAACCCAAAATCCTCACTTTCTAAATTTATCCAACATTTTGAAATATCTGAAGCTCTTTAGATAAAATGCCAGTTCCACAACTGATTTTATTTTGCTGTTTTCCACTTTTTATATCTTCTGTTTCTTCCATGTAAAGCTGTTTCTATGCTACCACCCTTTTACTGGAATTTTGCTACAGTGCTAGGATTACTATACAACTGTCCCTTATTAACTGCAAGGAACTGACTGGTTCTTGAACCCTATGCAGATAGCTAAATTTGAGGATGAGAAAGTCCCTGATACAGAATGTCATAGCAGCATTTTGCACTCCCTTCTAGCCTTTGAAAGATTGCTTTGATCATTTAATTGCTTTTTAGGAACCATTTTTCCCTGCAGAAACAAAGGGTACACAAATAAAAACAGTGAATATGAGAGGAGAGATAAACAATGATCAAACAACCAAGAATGGAGATAGACTGATGGTCTGTGAAATGGTGGGAAGCAACAACAGGGCATGCCTACGTATCACTTCATTTGTATGGATTCAGTGTAGTGCTCAGTGAACAGCACATTCAAGTTCTGCTTTTTAGAGCTCTCTAGATTTTCCTTTTTTTATTTAATTTAAATCTTGCATTATTATTCAGACATGTAATAAAAAACATAACAAAAAACTTCGGAGATAAAACAGACATTTATCCCCAGTTTTCCAGAGAGAGAGCTCTAGGTGGGCTCCCTTTCTATGCCAACTCACAACTTAAGGCTTCTCATTACTGAATGGTAATAGCTCCTAAAACTGGATCTTTTAGAGACCCTTGTGAAGATAATTTACAACACTTATGGGCATGGGTTTTCACAAAAATTTCCAATTATTTTTCCTTTTAGCTGTCTCCTCTACTTCCTGAGATGAGTATGGGTGAGGGAGAAGGCTGTGGTTATTGGGATTATATTTGATTTAGTGCAAAACCAAGAAAACCATGCCCTTTGCTACAACTATTATAGGCTTTTGTCAGTTTTCTTTGACACCTGTAAGAAGAGCATGCAATGCATTGTACGGCATGTAGTTTCTGTAGTGCATGTAAGAGCATACACACTGAAATCAGACAGTTTTTTAATCTCATCTGCCACTTAAATAGATTCATTGAATCTCTTTATATTTTCTATACGCAGTTGGTTGAATCCACAGATGAGGAACCTGTGGATACAAAGGGTCAACTGTGTAACACAGGACGACAGAACCTGGTAGAATATGTCCATCTTAAATCCTATTAATAAAGTTTTCATAACTAAGGTAACAAAAGCACTCAATAGCAGCTTTATTATGTGCTTCATGGTATAGGATACAAAGTCAGCACCTTAACATGTTTTCCCTTCCACTTTGCTTCAGGTAACACCAACCCAACCAAACTCCTAACTGCCAAATTTCAAATGCACCAATGTGATAAAAATATTTTGTTAAACTTTACTTTAAAATTATTAGCCACAAGAAATCATAAAAATAGTACACAGAGTTGTACACACCCTTCAATTAATTTTTCCGGATGATGATATCTAATATAAGAATAGTACATTATTAAAATCAGGAAAATGACATTGGTACATTATTGTTAACTAGATTACAAACCGTATTCAATTTTTTTATACTTTTTAACCTGCACTCATTCATGTGTGTGTTGTTGTACACAATTTAATCTCATAAATATATTTGTGTATCCACCACCACAATCGATACAAAACTGTTTCAAAACAACAAAAGAACTCCCTTATGCTGCCTTTATATTTATACCTACCAGACCCCAACTACTCGGAGTTTCCTGGCAATCATTATTTTGTTTTTCATCTCTATAGTTTTATCATTTTGAAAATGTTATATAAGTTGAATCATGCAATCCATATAGTTCTTTCAAATTAACTTTTTTTCACTAAGCATACTACCCTTGAGATTCATCTAGTGTATATCAATAGTTCATTCTTTTTTATTGCTGAGTGTTTCAAATGTTTCAAACTTTAAAGGTGTAAAGTAATTGAATTCCAATAAAGGTTTATTGTAATAAAGCCATTAACTTAAAATGCTTGGAGGAATTTAATGCCCATTTGGCACTTCTTCTTTATATCCAAAACACTTCCTAGATATTTACTCAAACAAAAGACTAATTCACTTGTGCAAAAGTAGAGTGTCAGCCATTACAATCTGATTTTTAAAATGACAAATTCAATGAAAAATTTCAGATGACTTACCCCATCCAGATGGCAGTGGACCCAGGGGATCAAATTCCTTACTTTGTGATGTAGCAAACAAATCTTGATTCTAAAAAGGACACAAAAGTGGTAAAATAATTAAAAACTTAAAACAAGTGATTTAAAAATAAGGTTTTGAATCTTGATATGCTTTCCCTTGTCCATGTAGAACATAGCATATTCTATGAAATTCACATTGTGGAGAAATATCACAGGGTTAGAGGCAAATGCCAATATATTTCTTCACTTTGAGGGGGAAAAAAAAGATCTTTACAAATTCAAATGCTACACAAATACATAATGCATAATGAGAAACTCCTCTCAAATGTTTACACCCAAAATAATATATAACCATCTCACAGAGTATCCAAGAAGCAACTGATGAGTGGTTGGGTGGCGGTTGTATGCTCTGGAGACAGTTCTGACTCATAGAGACCCTGTATAGTTTATGAGATTGTAAATCTTTACAGGAGCAGAAATCCTCATCTTTTTCCCAAGGAGTGACTAGTACATTCGAACTACTGACCTTTTGGTGAACAGCCCAGCTCATAATCCACTACACAACCAGGGCTCCTAAATGTCCCCCAGTTACATATAATTGCTAAATACAGAATCATCAGCCAAGAAAAAAACCTGTATTTCTAACTTAAAGGAAGTACTTGGAATATACAAAGAATTATTTGTAATGATCATATTGGGAGGAGAAAGGCTTAAGAAAGAGGAAGTTGCTCCAGTAAAGATTTATAGCCTCAAAAGTCCTATGTAGGGTCACTGTGAGTCAGAATTTAATCAATGGCAGTGGGTCAGGGACACCTAAACTGCTATTGTGATGTGGTATAAAGTAAACAGTGGCAGAATTCTTTGGGGAAGAGTTAGTGAGATGGAAACTGTCTTCAGAAGCGAATAAACTCAGATGGAGGATATGTTGAGAAACTATAGTTTCCTATTTTGATTTTTTTTGTTTGAAATGGTTTCTATGATTTTTTAACAATACTTTTTTACTTACCTTCATTATTTCAGTGTATCGGATATTTATGGACTTTTAAAAAAACATAATACCAATTATCATTACACTTAGCAAAAATTACAAATTTAATACCTAAGCCAAAACTGTATTTGTTTCTATTAATCAAAGCTAAGTAGTCACATGACATTTGGCTGAGTCTCTTAAGTCTCAATCAAAAGTAGTGCCCCTACTAGCTCTTGTTGCTGTTTTATTCATGTCCTTGACTTATTGCAGAATTCTGGTTTGTTAATTGCAGTTTTAAAGGAAATAATCTATTTCTAATTTACTAGCTCTTAGAAGATAGACCTGTCAAGAACTAGCCTTGCATCTCCTGATAAAACAAGATTATGAAAAGGATTTAGTAGGGAGAAACATTTTAAAAGGTGTGAGCCCTGGTTATAAAGCAGTTCTGAAAATTATGGTTTATGACAACGATCCTATTTTGATAATTCTCTAAGATCAAAGCCTACTTCCATTGGCTCTACCTGGCTAAGCAGGAGACATGTACAGTAAAATCATGAACCAAGTAGAGCCAATACATCATTAACCATTCTGATGTACGAATGCTAGGTTTATGAATCTGTTGTTGTAGTTAGGTGCCACTGAGTCAGTTCTGACTCATAGTGACCCTATGTACAACAGAATGAAACTTTGCCTGGTCCTATACCATTCTCACAATCAGTGCTAGCTTGAGTCCATTGTTATTGCCACTGTGCCAATCCATCTCACTTTTTCGTTGAGTGCTAATTTTAGATGTATTTCTCTAAGGACTGGTCTCTCCTGTTAACATGTCCAAAGTCTTGCCACCCTCTCATCTAAGGAACATTCTGGCTATACTTCTTCCAGATAGATTTGTTCATTCTTCTGGCAGCCCATGGTATACTCAATATTCTTGGTCAACACTACAATTCAGATACATCAATGATAGCAAAGCAAAAACTGTCTATGAATCTACTTTCCAGAACTGGGACAACAACTGGGGACAAAAATCACTTCATATTGCCCCAAAAGAGACCATTTCTCAGGAACTTCCTTCCCATTTCTAAGGCCCTGGTGTTAATGTTCAATTCATTTCATACCTTTGGTTATTTGGGGGTGGAGGGTACAACTATAAAACAGGACATTTTTTAGCTCTATATAATTTTAAACCTTTCTATAACTAGAATGAATAGAAGAAATTTCAGATAATTGGTCAGATTATTTTAGACAGGAGGAGGAAAAAAAATGAACATGGACAATAAGGTAAAAGGCGTAATTCAAGAAAAGTTCCAAAGACTGTATCAAATTGATCAAGTCTATAACAAAGCTAAACACACAAATAGGTGCTCTAGAAATTTGTTAAATTCTGTTTTCAAATAAAATTATTTGAAAGATTGATTAATATAAATATAATATAAAGGGCACATTTACAATTGTGGATACAAGAGATTAGAACTAACATATCTGAACATCTAGTATGTGCCAAATATATTCAAAACGTTATTTTACAGAATCCTCTAAGTAAACCTTGAGGTATTGCAGGATATTACCTTGGACTGCAAGGTTGGTTTGAACTGCAGGGTCAGCAGTTCAAACTCACCAACCGCTCCTTAGAAACCCAATACAGAGTGGGTGGGTCACTATGAATCAGAGCTGACTCGAGGGAACTTAGCAATAACAACATTTTATCAATAAAATAAAAGAATGGTGATGAGATTAAGTAATTTACTCAAAGTCACACAGAGATTCGAACCCAGATGTGTCTGACGCCAAAGCCCTTGTTCTTTCCAATGGATACCCATGTGGAAACTAGCTTATGGAAGGTAGGCAAGTTAGGCAATCAAACCAAGGTGAAATCTGACCAGGCATACCAAAGGTAATTATAATTTAGAAAGTAAGGAAGATGTAAACAGCATAATGAAAAACAACAACAGATGGAGTAAGGTAGATAAGAGGCAGAAGTTAATTTCACTTTTCAAATCACTGGGGAGGGGGTATAGTGACAGCTATCAAGAGAAGGTAGCAGAAAACATACTGAAGGGAAGGTTGTTCATGAAGGTGATTTGTGTTTATCATTGAATGATAACTATTATAGTGATGGGAGTCCTGATGCTGGATAAGCACTGTTAACCACAAGGTGGTGGCTCAATCCCACTAGTTGCTCCTCGGAAGCCCTATACCAGGTCACTATGAGTAGGAACTGACTCAACAGCAGTTAACAAAAGCATAGTAATGAGTTTCAAGATACAGATGCAGGAATGTGGGAAAAAGGGATCAGGCAAACCCTACTGAAGACAGGACTGACTCTGATGGATTCAAACAGGGATGACACAGGTAGAGGAGAATGGATGGCAATGGAGATGGTTAGCTTCTCTTTAATTCTTAATTAAGAAAGTTAATTTTCTTCTGTTTAGGGGCTACATTATTACTTAAATCTCTTTTGGCACAGAGAATCAAATTTCTCAGAGGACTACTTCCTTTCCTCAAAGAAAAATTTTCTGACATTTTACAACTTGAGATTAGAATTCCAAGCACCAAAAATTGCATTTTGAGGCATTAATATATTTTGGTGTACTTATCATTACTATTGTAATGTCACTTTTACTTTAAAGGAAAACATGATCATTTTGCAGAGGATCCGCAGGAAGTTTCCTTCACTGGGCACGTTGTAGCCCCATTTTAGGTATTCCAATCAGTGATAGGCAGAAGACGGACTTAAAAGCTTTCTATGGTGATGCTTTTCGCTATTCCTTTCTCTCCCCCTTCAGTGTCTACTTTATAATATAATGCAAGGAAAACCAAGATTCAAAAGAAAGCCAAGCATCTTAATAAAACATGAACATTTTAAAACATCTGTTTCCTGTAATATTTTTATACCAAAGATAATACAGAAGTGTGAATAATGCATTTAAGATAGTCTGATAAAGAATAAAATTTCTAAATAATTTATTAAGTAAACTTTATCTACTTAAAGAATGTTAAAAATGATTCAACTCTATTACCAGTTCTGTACAACCACTTGATAGGAGAGTTCGATGTTCTTATATCCAAGCTTTTTGAATATTTTGTTAAGGCAGTACTAAATTTATAATTGTTTAAATTCTTTTCACACTGCTTGGGCTCATTTTACTATTCCTTTGTCCATGAATTTTAGTTTGTCCTTGTTTAAAACAAAGTAAAAGAGGTTGGACTTCATTAAATCACAGAACAAAGAATGGATCACATCAGCTGAACATACCAGACAAGGTCCCAAAACACAATCTTTCACAGCAACAACTAAGTTGTCACTTTGTTTGCACCTTTTTTTACTATTTTATATAACACATTAATACATGAACAACCTTTCTAACTTCATAATACAATAGGATGCTCACCCCATAAATGAATCTCTGGTTAAACTGCTGCATTGCTCCTTGAAGCTGACTTCGTTGTAGCTGCCACTGTTCATAGTTACGGACGGACTCCAATGTTGGCCTCTGCCATGTAGTTGTTCTTGTAAAATGGTCAACATAATAAATACGTCCCATGTTGTCAACCCGCCGTTCCCAACTATATCCAGGGGGGCAAAAAAAATCTCATTCAACAAATATGAAACAGATATGAGTCAAAAAGGACTTAATCCTAGCACTGGACCATAAACAACATTCTTATTAATGAAGAAAAGATTGAAGTTGTCAAGGACTTTATTCTTCTTAACCGACTATCAACACTCATAGAAGCAGCAGTTAAGAAATCAAATGACGTATTACATAAGGCAAATCTGTTGCACAAGACCTTTTTCAAGTGTTGAAGAGCAAAGATGTCAGCTTGAGGACTAAGGTGTACCTGACGCAAGCCATGGTGTTTTCAATAACTTCATATGCATGCGAAAGCTGGACAATGAATACGGAAGACCTTATTGATGCTTTTGAGTTATGGTGTTGGAGGAGAATACTGAAAGTGCCATGGGCTGCCAAAAGAACCAACAGATCTGTGTTGGAAGAAGTGTAGCCAGAGTACTCCTTGGAGGCCAGGATGGCTATACTTTGTCTCTCATACTTTGGATATATTGTCAGAAGGGACCAGTCGCTGGAGAAGGATATGTTTAGTAAGGTGGAGGGTCAAATAAAAAGACCCATGCGAGATGGATTGGCAAAGTGGCAGCATTAATGGGCTCAAGCATGGCAACAACTGTGAGGTTGGCCCAGAACCGGGCAGTGTTTCATTCTGTTGTACATAGGGTCACTATGAGTCGGTACTGACTCGATGGCACCTAACAACAAGAACAGCCCTAGCTCGGGTGCAAGTTTAGTAGAATTTTGCTTGAGGCACTATTTTATTGTTTACTTGAAGTCTTTCATTTTATATTTTATAAAATGGTCTGTAAGAGACAGCAAGAGGAATTTTTCTAAAAATTCCTTTTTTAAAAGATAAGACACATCAGTCAAATTCTTAAAATGCAATGTATATTTACTAAGTTTCAGGCAGTTATTAGTGGAAAAAAAGCTGTAATTTTCTTTCTAATGTTACATAACAGGAACACAAATTACGTCCATAGCTTTTTCACAGGTACCCAAAAGTACTTTTTCACAGGGATACAATCTAGTATTTATCATTTTAAATGAGTACATATGTGAGTTTATAAACACTTATATATTAACTTAATGACTTATACCTGGTTATTTATGGATGTTTCCAATAATATTATAAGCAGTAAATAATAATACCTCTAAATCACAAAACTTTTTATTCCTTTTTTAAAGTATTTCCTTAGGATAAATCTTTTGGAAAGTACTACTAAGGGTATATGCAGAATTATGGTCTACACACACACACACATACATATAAGTGAGGGTACTTCAAAAAGTTCATGGGAAAATGCCATTAACTTTTAATGCCAGTTTCTGTCAGAAACGTTTTGAAGCCCCCCATGTGTGTATGTATATATAAATATCCCACTATAAGAGTTGTAAAGAGCTCTGGTGGAGCAGTGGCTAAGTACTCAGTTGCTAACCTGAAGACTGGTGATTGAACACCCCAGCCACTTACTGGGAAAAAGACGTGGTAGTCTGCTTTCCAAAAGATTATACCCTTGGAAATCCTATGGGGCAGTTCTACTCTGGCCTATAGAGTTGTTATGTCACACAATTTAACAGCAGCGTGTGTGCTTTCTTAGCCCCCCCCTTTTTAAAAAATTTTTGTTATTGTCTTCCTTCTAGATTAAAATAACACTTTTGAATTGTTTTATGTTATGCTAATACCTACCATATATTAACACAATAATATCCTCAACTTCCCCAACTATTCTGCAATGACTTCACTATTACATATTAACTTCTTTTATAAATCAGGGATTTTTTTTTCTCATATATAAATTAAAGGCTATTATTCTTATTCTGTTAAACAATTATTCTTGAAGAAACTAATCCTAAAACTCTGTGTCTCTGAGCCAGGTAAATAGTTCAGACAGGAAAATTTTTTTAAGTAGCAACATCTAAGGAATTTTCAGATCAAAAATGAATGAAAACAAAAATTATTCACTATGCTCACTAAAATCTCTGGGTATCTCCACAAACTAAAGTGGACATAGACAAGATGGACAGAAATAGGAAAGTAGGAATGAAACAATGATTTTATAAACATAAAATGCATTGTTCTGAATAAACACTATTTTTTTCTTAAACTCAGATACTTACCCAGGAGGTAGAGGTTCTGGTCTGTCCCATGTCGTTCTTTTCTCAACATGATCTACATAGTAGACTCGCCCATGTTGGTCCATTCTCTGCTCCCAACTTAAATACAAAATTTAAAAGGGAGATATGGTATTTGTGAGACATAGCTTGGTTAATGTCTTTGTTTTATAATTCCTTAAATAGCCAATATTATAGAGCTGAGGCAAAAAAAAAAACCAAAAAAGCGTATAAATCTATAAAAATAATACCAAAGGAATTTAGGAATGAAGTTAAAAATGTCATTTTCTGAGGGCAATATACGTTATTGTTGTTGTTGTTATGTGCCGTGGAGTCGATTCTGACTCACAGCGACCCTATACAGGGTTTCTGAGGCTGTAAATCTTTACGGGAGCAGAACGCCTCATCTTTCTCCCACGGGACAGCTGGTAGTTTCGAACCACTGACCCTGAGGTTTGCAGCCCGATTCGTAACCACTATGCTACCAGAGAGTAGATGATATTTCTTCTCCAGAAGTATCTAAGTGGACTGAAGTTAAAGCCACTAAGCAGACCAAAGTCTCTCTCAATCTGATTGGGGTACACTCAGGGCTTGAATAAAAATGAAAGCTACAACTTCATTTTACAAAACCTGAAGTCTGAGCTAACTCAAAGCCAATGGTCTGTCTGCATTTGAGAAAAACTAAAATCTAAGATTTTATCAGATGTATCTTAAGCACAGTCCAAGGGAAAAGGCTGGATGATTGGGCAATATGAACTCAATTTCATTGGTAGGTTTGTCCCCAAAATGAAGATAGGGAATTAACCCTCATAGCTTGACAGTAACAATCACTTCTAAGAACATTCACTTTCTCTTTGCTAATCTCTTACACAAATAAAATTCTAATTCTGTGTCCCATGTAAGTTTTCCAAAAGAAAAATGGCTTAAATGCTACGCTGTTTAGCAATCAGAATGATCAAGAGTTATCAGTCAAATTGCTCTAATCAGCATTCTCTGCTGTAGAATAACTGATGAATGCTATATATAAAATTATACTTAAGTTTTAATTTTAAAATTATCAGTAAAGATTAAAATGGGAATCTCAGTTTCCTAAATTATGTATTACTTTGCTATAATGACTTTCCACCACTTGTCTGTTAGTTTGTCGTACTGTGTTAGCTTGTGAGTTGCTGTGATTCTGAAAGCTATGCCACCGGTATTTTAAGAACCATCAGGGTCACCCATGGTGGACAGGTTTCAGATGAGCATCCAGACAAAAACAGACTAGGAAGAAGGAGTGACGAACTACTTCTGAATATTTAGTCACTAAAAACTTTATGAATAGCAGAAGTACACTATCACATATAGTGCCAGAAAATGAGCCCCACAGGTTGGAAGGCACTCAAAATGAGACTGGGAAAGACATGCACAACTCAAAATGAAGAGAAAAAGCTGTAAACATCCATTGAAAATCGGAACATGGAATGTACGAAGTATGAATCTGGAAAACTTGGAAGTTGTCAAAAAAAAATGAAGTTGAATGCATAAACATCAATATCTTAGGCATTAGTGAGTTGAAATGGACTGGTATTGGTCATTTTGATTCTGATGACCACATGGTTTACTATGCAGGGAATGACAAATTGAGGAGGAATGGTGTTGTATTCATTGTCAAAAAGAACATATCCAGATCAGTCATGAGGTACAACATGTCTGTGATAGGATAATATCCATGCACCTGCAGGGAAGCCCAGTTGACATCACTACTATTCAAATTTATGCACCAACCATTTAAGCCAGTGAGGATGAAATAGAAGAATTCTACCAACTTCTTCAACCTGAAATTGATCAAACATGCAATCAAGCTGTATTAATCATTACTGGTGATTGGAATGCAAAGGTTGGGAGCAAAGAAGAAGGATCAGTAGTTGGAAAACATGGCCTTGGTGATGGAAATGATGCTGGAGAACGCATGATAGAATTCTGCAAAACCAATGATTTGTTCATTTCAAATACCTTCTTTAGACAGCATAAGAAACGAATATACACATGGGCCTCACCAGATGGAATACACAGAAATCAAATTGACTACATCTGCGCAAAGATACGATGGAAAAGCTCCATATCATCAGTGAAAACAAGGCCAGGGGCAGATTGTGGAACAGACTATCAATTACTCATATGCAAATTAAAACTGAAGCTGAAGAAAATGAAAACAAGTCCACGAGAGCCAACATATGACCTTGAGTAGATCATCTGAAGAACAGATTTGATACATTAAACACTGAAGACTGAAGACCAGAAGAGTTGTGGGATGACATCAAGAACATCATATGTGAAGAAAGCAAACAGTCATTAAGAAGACAAGAAAAAATGAAAAGGTCAAAATGGATGTCAGAAGAGACATTGAAACTTGCTCTCCAGAGTAGAGATGCTAAAGCAAATGGAAGAAATGAGGAGGTCCAAGAGCTGAACAGAAAATTTCAAAGGTCAGCTCGAGAAGATAAAGCCAAATATTACCACAAAATGCGCAAAGATCTTGAATCAGAAAACCAAAAAGGAAGAACACGCTCAGCATTTCTCAAGATGAGAGAACTGAAGAAAAAATTCAAGCTTCGAATTTCATTATTCTAAGATTCTCTGGACAATTTATTGATTGATGCAGAAAGCATCAAGAAAAGATGGAAGGAATACACAGAGTCACTCTACCAAAAGGAAATGGTTGATGTTCAACTGTTTCAAGAAGTTGCATATGATCAAGAGCCAATGATACTGAAGGAAGAAGTCCAAGGTGCATTGAAGGAATTGGCAAATAACAAGGCACCAGGAATTGATGGAATAAAAATTGAAACCTTTCAATAAAGTGAGGCACATAGAAGACACTCATTCATCTATGCCAAGAAATTTGGAAGACAACTATCTGGCCAACTGATTGGAAGAGATCCATATTTGGGCCCATTCCAAAGAGAGGTGACCCAATGGAATGCAGAAATCAATGGACAATCTCTTTGATATCCCATGTGAGTAAAGTTTTACTAAAGGTAATACAGAAACGGCTGCAAGCATACATTGACAGAGAACTTCCAGAGGTTCAAGCCGGATTCAGAAAAGGCCATGGAATGAGGGCTATCACTGCTGATGTCCGATGGATCTTGGCTGAAAGAAGAGAATATCAGAAAGATGTTTACCTGCGCTTTATTGACTATGCAAGGCTTTCGATTGTGTGGATCATGACAAGCTATGGACAACATTGCCAAGTATGAGTATTCCGGAACACTTAAATTGTGCTCATGAGGAATCTGTACATGGATCAAGAGGCAATTGTTCAAACAGAACATGGCAAGACTAAAGGGTTTAAAATTAAGAAAGGTGTGCGACAGGGTTGTATTCTTTCACCATACTTATTCAACCTGTATGCTGAGCAAATAATCCAAGAAACTGGGTTATATGAAAAAAATGTGGTATCAGGATTGGAGGATGACTCATTAACAACCTGCGACATGTACATGATACAACCTTGCTTGCTGAAAGTGAAGAGGACTTAAAACATTTACGGATAAAGATCAAAGAACACAGCCTTCAGTATGGATTATATCTCAATGTAAAGAAAACAAAAATCCTCACCACTGGATCAATAAACAACATTCTTATCAACGGATAAAAGATTATAGTTGTCAAGGACTTCATTCTTCTTGGATCAACCATCAACACTCATGGAAGCAGCAGTCAAGAAATCAAATGACGTATTGCATTGGGCATGTCTGCTGCACAAGACCTTTTTAAAGTGTTGAGGAGCAAAGATGTCAGCTTGAAGACTAAGGTGCACCTGACCCAAGCCATGGTATTTTCAATAACCTCATATGCATGTGAAAGTTGGACAGTAAATAAGGAAGATCATAGAAGAATTGATGCATTTGAGAATACTGAAAGTACCATGGGCTGCCAAAAGAACCAAAAGAAATGCAGCTAGAGTGCTCCTTGGAGGCCAAGATGGCCAAACTTCATCTTTCATACTTCGGACATATTGTCAGGAACGACCAGTCAATGGAGAAGGATTATCATGTTTGGTAAGGTGGAGGGTCAGAGAAAAAGAGGAAGACCCTCAATGAGATGGACTGGCCATGTAGCAGCATAGACGTGCTCAAGCGTGGCATCAATAGTGAGGTTGGCCCAGGATTGGGCAGGGTTTCCTTCTGCTGTGCATGAGGTCACTTATGAGTCAGTACTGACCTGATGGCACCTAGCAACAACAACAACATGATGACTCTGTGATGGAAAGAATTAAAAAGGAAAAAAAAAAAGTTTTCCCCCAAAGAGAAAGCAATCTGAATTAGGTCACTATTTTATTACTTGGTCTTATCTATGATTCAGGGTCTTTCAATAAAAACAAACAAGCAAACAAACCAAAACATCCACTTTGTCCTGAAAGCAATGTGGTAGGCAGTCATTGACTCCAGGGTCCCAAAAATCGGTGATAAATTCTTAAAGACAGCTATTTAAAAGAATGGACTTCAGTATAATTTTCCTTTCTAGTAAGTATATACAGAGGATAATGAAAACAAAAAATAAACCAAAAAAAGTTACTCACCCAGGTGGTAGGGGAGCTTGAGTGACAGGATTTAAAGGTCTAGGGCCTGTGCCTCCAGAAATAGTAAGAGGAATTATTAATCCAGATGTAGCTCCTTCAGACATATTTGAATTTGTATTTGTTGGTGGCAAAGAGCCTGTACTAGATCCATCGCTTTCTGAAGTGGCAGATGGAGAACCATTGACAGATGCTATAAAAGATAGGGACAAACAGGAAGAGATTCTCTTAGTTTTTCAAATCTAAATTCAGGGTAGGATCTTAACTTTAAAATAAAAAAGTTAAATGAAAAATTAAAAATTTAAGATGAGAATGGTGGTGGTGGTGAAGTACTGTGGAGTCAGTTCCGACTCATAGTAACCCTGTACAGGGTTTCTGAGGCTGTAAATCTTTACGGGAGCAGAATGCCTCATTTTTCTCCCACGGAACAGCTGTAGTTTTGAACTACTAACCTGGAGGTTGGCAGCCCAACTTGTAACCACTACGCTACCAGAGCCCCTTAAGATGATAATGTAACAGGTAAAAATACTTAGGAAGCCAATATGCCCATGGAATAGGCTTGTTCACAATTTTTCAGGCCCTGTCCACCTATGTCTCACTAATAATTATAAAGCACATACAAATTCTTTGATTTCTTAATGCCACAGGAAATAAAAACTTTAGAATGGGAAAGCTTTGGTATCCCTTGGTAAAAATTTACTTATTTCATTTAGCAGATGTTTAAAAACCGCCTTTTACATGAAAGGTTGCAGACTAAAGAGTAATCTTTGATAATGGTAAAATTCTGGAAAATCTGACTTCTTACCTAATGGTTACTGAGGACCTATTATATCTTTAAGAAAGATTTAAAGCCAAAATAATTTCTGAAGAAGACAAACAGGTGCATACTCTTAAAAGACTGGGATTATATGAGTATTGCTAACAAGCACTAAAGAGAGGAAAGTGTATAATTAAGTTCAGCAATGAGTTTTGGATAATAAACTTATTCTTCTAATAACATTTTACATTATCTGTCCATATACCAGCAGAGGGAAATAATAAGAGATTATGCTAAAATTACAGATTTGCTTGGCTAGTCTGAAAAACAGATATTCTACTTGCAGATACTTGCATTACTACGTGAAATGTGTGTGCTTGTTGTGTATTTTTGCTTTAAAATCGGAATATAATTTAGTATTGTTGAGTGATTTGCCATTGACTAATTGTCTTTTAAAAGTCTTTAATAGTATTAAGCAAACAGATCCTTGTCTGCACTAGATCCTTGACTACGTGGCATGCTCCTGTCACAATTACAAACCATGCTAGAAAGTTCATCTTATCTTTATTGTCCATACTTTATAAAATACACATCAGTGTATTTTCCATTCTCAGTGGAACACAGCCTGACTAACCTCACCTCTAGAAGAAAAACTTAAGAAAATGACATTTTTTTGGTTACCTACAGGAAGATCATTCTTGGACAAAATTTTTTAATGTAAAAATATGGCTAGAAAATTGACCTAAAAGGGTCTCCTCCTCACACTTACCTGATGATAAATCCCCAAACAAAATGCTATTACAATCACAGTATTGGGTGCTATATATCCCTAGTGTATGGGTGGAAAACATACCTGGTCTACGTGGGGTAGGTGGAGGTGGTCGTGATGGTCTTGGAGGCCTAGAAGGTTTAAAACCACCATTTGAGAGTGATGGAGAATTATTCCCATTGACCCTCCTATTTTCACCAGACCCTGCATCCTCTGGGTCATCCGATTCATTTGTGCACGCTCTGAGTAAGAATGGGAAAAAAGGAAGTGTAAGGGAAAAGGAAAACGAATGCACTTTGAATGTAACAAAAGACCAACAGGAAAACCAAAACTTACATGCTTTAGGAGCTTGAGAAAAATGTTCTAATTTCAGACCTGCCCTTGCGTAGAGTTTTATATATTATCCTCAGAGCACCATTCAGAAATAGAGTGAGGGGTTGCCCAGGGCATGATTAAAAATGATTAGATATGCTAGTTAGATTTCAAATAAATCTTCTGATATATAAGCAGGAAGAAAGTCAGTTATTAAAATCTCAATGCCACTATTTTATCACAAATACACAATAACTTAATTTCCTACCACTGTAATTTCCTTGGCCCTTATTATTATTCAGGTTCTTCAGTTGGCCTGATTATCCCATGCCAGAAAAAAGTAGTTATTTCCCAAGGCTGGACAACCTTCCCAAACACAACAGTATATGAAATGTTCAAAGTTAGTATAGTGCCTATAGACCTTTTTAAAGAAACTGTTATTTCTTCGAAGTAATAATATCAACTGGAAGAAAGGAAAAACAGAAAGGATTCTAACAGGAATCTGGTCAGATTGGAAACTGCCAGCTAAATACAGTTGATCCTCTTCCCAAGGAGTACAGCAGGGATGTTGTTGTTGTTAAGTACCAGAGTAGGGGTGGGGGTACGAAAATCTAATAATGGATTAGAAAGCAATGCACAAGTAGTTAAGATCAGAGATGCTTCAGCTAAGGCTCTGATCTCTACTACTAGATAAACAGCAAACCACTACATGGTATTAGCCCTTATCTCCTGAATATTCAGAACAAGTCTTAACAAAATAAAATCCAGTAATTTCAAGAAATCAAAATAGGGAGGCAGCATCATATATTAAATAATTTGCAAATGATGTTCCCTAGAAGTCCTTTAGGTCTTTTCTACTCTGAATGTGGATCTTTGGACTAGAAGTTCATGCATCACATAGGAGTGTTAGAAATACTTAATCTTGGGCCGCATGCCAGACCTATTATCAAAACTAGCATTTTACACTATAGGCCATGGACTGAGAAAGGCAGGAGCCTGGATTGGACATTTAAACAAACATATATTTTCAATGTGCTATGTGTACAAAAAAAAGAGACGGTAATAAAGATAAATATTGTTAGATGATTATAATCATTGCAGTGATTTGTTGGATGTTAAACTGATAAAAGCTTTAAAAAGAACCAAAACTAACATTTTAGCAGATCCCCAAATGATTTGAATGGACAATATAGTACACAGTACTACATCTGGAAGTTCCACAAATGCTTATTTTGAAAAGAAGGAATAGCTCAGTAATTGGCTATCAGGCGGTGATTAATGCTGGCTACCTGCAGGACAGTCAAGCCACCAGTGGATATAGTTTGAATACATAAGAATAGAGGTAGATCCATCATCTTTGACATTGCTTCCTATTCCTTGCCCTAGGTGCTGAGGTTCCAAATCTGTTTTGAGACTCTGAGAACTATCTCCCCATACTATTTTAAGAGACTGCTAATGAGTAGGAAAGAAGGGTTCTTGCTGCTTTTCATGACAGACAACTGGCAAAATGGACCTAAAGTGAAAAATTGAGGTTTTTAGATCTGACTTTCGTTAAGTACCACTGAGTCGGTTTTGACTCACAGCGATCCTATATAGAGTTTTGGAGGAGCAGCTGGTGGATTTAAATTGCCCATATTGCAGCTACCAGTCCACTGCTTATCCTACAGTGCCACGTGTTTCCTTGATACTTACTGCAGAGAATTAAATTCTTGGGGAGTTTAACATTCATGTTGTTTATTCTTTTAATATCTTGGCTTCAATTTCTCAGCAAAGTTAACTAACAATGTGCATAGTAGGATGGTATCATTGTTAAGTGTCGTCAAGTTGGTTTGGACTCACAACAACCCTGTGTAGGGTTTTTGATGAGTGACTGACGGATTTAAACTGCCACCGTTGCGGTTACTAGTCCAGCGCTTATCCTACAGTGCCGCATTTTTCCTTGATACTTAGAATGATTTCTCAATTTAGATGGTGAACTCTAACACTTCTGACTATAACTTCCTATTCCTTCTCCACCCATCTTCAACTCCCGATGACCTTTGACTACCACCATTCTCCCTCTTGTAATCACAGTCCATCTGTCCCCTTCAAGTGTCATTTAGACTCTACCCCTGGCTATTTTTCATAGCAACTTAAATCTTCTCATCCTGGGTCAACCAGTCCCTCCCCAATCCTTTCACTGCAACTAAACTTTTATCTATATTCTCCACTGAACCACTAACCACCATGTTCTCCACTACTGTTCTCTGGGGCCAACAAGTAATGATGGAGCTGTAGGATATGCGCTGGGCTGCTAACTACAATGTTAGCAGTTCAACCCCAGCCATTCCTCTGAAACCCTATTCAGAATCACTATGAGTCAGAACCAGCTCGATGGCACTTAAATCAACACAACCTGAAGGTTGTGATTTTACTTTCTACAAGCTAAAGGGAGTATAAACAATTTGGGTATCCCTGGCTTAAAATTAAACAGTATTAAAATCTTTGAAATAGGTATTTCCCATCTGACCTTGAATCCTCAATTATTTTAGACAATCATTAGTTATTACATCTATCTAAACTTGAAGTTCTAACTAGGATTTCTCTTTATTAACTTACCCTTTTCTCTTCCTGCACTCTGTAATAAATAATCACAGTAAAATCTTACCTTGTTTCATCCTTGGACATGGAGCCATCATCATTCTGTGAAGTACCTTTAACATCAATGAAATGTAAACAGAAAGTGAATTTCAAGAGAGGACTCTCCCCACCCCCCAAACAGAGGAATTGTCAAGTTTTTTTCTCGCTTTCTAAAAATACAATATAAGCTAAGTCTTTCTAATCAAGAACATAACATAGTTAAAATCCCAAGCAAACATTTTAAAAAGCAAACGTGGTAATTGTTTATATGGTTAAAAGAAGAAAAGTTGTACCAAAATTCTATGCAAATGTTTGTTTCTATGTATAAGAAATGTTAAGTATTGTTAAATGCCCTGGAGTCGAATTAAACTTACAGTAACCCAATTTAGGGTTTCCTAGGCTTTAAAGCTTCTGTGGGAGTAAAAAGTCTCCTATCTCCAGCAAAAGTTAAATTAGTCTACTACTTATGCTTTTCAAACCAAGTATTTTAAGCAATCTTTTGTATCTCAAATACCTAAGAAAGTTCTAAAACCCAGCACAGTGACGAATCAATAAAAAACATTCTGAAAACAGAAAAATCAGTAACACCACTCTTAAATAAAATATCTGTAAAAGTAACAGTAAAGCAACAAACGGGTTTCAAAGTAATCAAAATGATATCCCCAATGTTCATAATTTCTTTAAATTTTATTCAACTTCCTCATGGGAAATATCCCTAGAACTCAGTCAGAACTTATTTATGATAAAACTGTTAGTTAGAGGGAGGTAGCTAGAGGCAGGGACAATGACATCAACAAAAGCAAATGGTAGATAAAAAGAAGGAAAATCTAAACTGTTGAAATTAGAACTCAACAGTCTGGGTCCCCTAACTAACAACAACAGCCTTTGAAAGTAGTCATCATTTCAAACTGTGAAATTATCACAGCATTCTATAGTATAATAGATTAAGTTACAGAAACGATGCTGATTTACCAATATATGATCATATTTAGTAAAGCTGTAAGAGTATGACCCAGTCTAGAAACACTACATTTAAAAAATATACAAAAGTGAATCAATAAATGTGGTATATCCATACAATGAAAAAGTATTCAACAATAAAAAAAGAATTAACATATATGCTATAAAATATGGATGAATCTTAAAACCATTATGCTGAGTGAAAGCAGCCAGATAAAAAAAGACCAAATACTACATTAGTCCATACATATGAGGCATCCAGAAAATAAAAAACTTACACAGAAAAAGTAGATTGGTGGTTAAGGGTTGGAGGTAGAAATGAGACTTCCTATAAATGAGCACCAATTCCTACCTCTAACCCTAAACAACCATAATCTACTTTATCTCGAAAAACTTTTTTTATTTTTTGGACGTTTCATACGTATTCTTATAAATGGGTACAAGCAGCTCTGGCAGCATAGTGGTTATGAATCGGGCTGCTACCCTTAAGGTCAGCAGTTTGAAACTACCAGCAGTTCCGTGGAAGAAAGATGAGGTTTCTGCTACCGTAAAGATTTACAGCTTCGGAAATCCTATATGCAGGGTGGCAATGAGGCAAAACTGACTACAAAGCAGACAGTCACCAGCCACCATAAATAGACACAAGAGATCATATCTGGGGGGTAATAAAGTTCTAAAACTAATTTACAGTGATAATTGTATCCCTCAGTGAAGTTACTCTAAAAGTCATCAAGTTGTATATTTGAAACAGGCAAATTGTATATGCAAAGCATGCCTCAATATAGCTGGTAAAACAGGCTCAACAAACACACATTAATATAAACACAAAGTAAAATGAAACAAATTTTGGCTGCATCAAGGTAAATTTCAGTTTCATAAGACTGTTTTCATAGGAAATACATTCTCCTAAAAATGACTGGAAGTGGAATGGATTGGAAAGCTTACTAATGGAGACCAAGGCTTTCTGTATGGATTTACATCTCATTATTATGAAAACAAAAATCTTCACAATTGGATGAATAAGCATCATCATGATAAATGTAGAAAAGATTGAAATTATCAAGGATTTTGTTTTACTCGGATTCACAATCAATGCCCATGGAAGCAGCAGTTGAGAAATCAATCCACATACTATGCTACATTAGAAAAAGCTACAAAAGATCTCTTTAAAGATTTAAGAAGCAAAAATATTACTTTCAGGAGAGAACAAATAAGATGGTGGACTGGTTGGAAGTGCAGTGAAGAGCTCCGCCAGCAACAACACAGAATACTCGACCAAGCAGGCTCAGGGGATGGTCCCAGAACTCTGATCCACATATAAAGGAATA